CACTGTTCTTTATAAGCAAAACAAAACAAGTTCTGCTACAAAAAAGAAAAGTAGTGTTATATCTCTCTTGAAATGATTTTCCTGCAGGGTTCATGATAAAGGGAGGAAATGTAGAGATTGGTGTTTTTCCTGGTAAAAAAAGAACAGCCTATTTTCTGTTTGATGGGGGGAAAAACATCCCAAGCAGACAGCTAGAGGGCAAAAAGACTGCTGAGGGTGTGGTAATACAGGTACTGCCACACAATTTGGAGTCAAGAACATTTCTTATGCCTGGTCTCCAAAGCAAGTTCCAGGATATTCAGGGCTGTTACACAGAGAGACTCTATCTTGAAATGCCCCCTCCCCCCAAAAATGAACATTGCTTAAACATTTTCTTCACATCACTTCTTGACAACTGTGAAATTTTGGACAGATTATCTAGCAACGCCTATGTATATGTAAAGTAGAGATAATAAAGTCTTTCCAAGCTTATTCATTTGTGAGGAGACTCACATTATATATAGAAAACATATTTACATATATAATTATATATAACTACATAGATATATAATGTGAATTGTGTGTATATGTGTTGTGTGTGAGAGAGGAGAGAGAGATGTGTGTGTGTTGTGTGTGTGTGTGAGAGAGAGAGATTAGTAGTAGAGTAGATATTCACAGGAGTTTGGAGACAAAGTATTATTCAAATATAAGCTATTACTCATGTTACAAAGAATGAACTCATATGAAAAAGAATTGAGAAGAAAGATATAATTTAGTTCCCCACTCTGTAGTCTCATTGGATGCAAAACTATTTGAAATATGATAGACAGGAGTGATTTCCATGACAGAGACAAGAGTTATTTACTAAACAAATGAACTATACTAAAAAATAGATATTCTTGATTTTAATATTTATTCTGTAATTATCTTATTTGTAAATGTAATAACTTATTATACTTAAAGCAGCTAAAGGGATAGCTGTGAAGCTGGTGATCCACATCCTTATGTATTTCAAGGCATCCTAGTTTTTAGGAAGCCACAATGTATATCATTGTTTATGTGCTAAGTGAGTCAAAAGGACACTCAGATTGCACAGAAGGTACAGTACAGACAACCTTCAAGATAGTCAGTCTGAGTTACAGGATTTTACGTCAAATATGAAGTTTTATCTAAGATAGTTTCTTGGGTTTGTAAGGTTTTCTTATTTAAGAAGACAAGGTTAGATTTTACACTCCTCATGATCCCATGGGTGCCCCAAAATGACAGACTTCCTGAGTTTATATTAGTGGCTGAAACATAGTCTCATCATAGATTACTCTAGGGACAAAACACCAATCATCTCATGATATTCATTACTTCCATTGACTTTTTTAACTTATCTTTTACAATAAGTTCCAATTTCCTAAATACAGAGCCTCCTTTTATGCTTTGCAAACAACACTCCCTGCAAGAGCTGATAACCAATAAAGGACCTGGATAATGCTTTGCATTGCTCTCATTGTGATATTTACTGTTAACTATTGGATTGCTATTTGGTTTTGATTTTATTTTGGTGTGAAAGATGTTGATTTGGAGATCAGAAACACTTAGAATATCTTTATTATGCTTTCAACTTGTGAAATCCTGCCTGCTGGACTATTTTTCCAAGAATAAATTATTCTTATAAGGTAAAGTAAATGAGTCTTATACACTTTTCAGATTATCTCAGTTCTTCCCTTAAGTTGTTGGGAGGAGCTAATTTACTTCATTTTATTTTCCATAGCAACATGACACACAACTCAAGATTTCCTCTACTGCAACTGTGTTCCAGAACACTGTGATGGGACACATATCCCTCAATTATAAAGACCAGGGAAGTGTCATAACAACTGATAAGGAGTGGATACAAGGAAAGGAAGCTTCCTTGCTTGGCAACTGATTGAGAAAGAGACCAGGGACTGATCAATTTGAACTCTGTTCATAAGGTTCTCCTGTGCGTCTAAGATAACCCATGCAGATGTGATCCTCACTGAAGAAAAAGAGACCCAAAGCAATGAGCAGACTGTCCAATGCTATTCAGCTGGTGACTAGAAGAATTCAGGTATGTGGGTTCAGCTTTATAAGAAACAAAAACATTTTTTTCAGGGCTGCATAGATAGCTCAGCAATTAAGAACATTTTCTGCTCTTACAGAGGACCAGAAGTCAGTACCCAGCACCCGCACCAAATAGCTCACCTGTAAGTCTAGTTCTAGGAGATCTAATGTTTTCCTCTGGGTTCTGTATGCATTCTTACACACCTAGCACACACTAACACACACACACACACACACACACACACACACACACACACACACACAAATTCAATGGTTAAAAAATAATACTTTTTTTTTTTAATGCCTAGAATTCAGCGCTTTCCTGATGCTTCGATATCACATCTGGACAATTTATGTCCAAAACTAAGAGTTTACTAATTAGACTATAATTATAGCAAGTACAATAAAAGGGTGATACTGCTCAATGTGCAATGTGCTGGCTTAAGTGGAGATGAATGTTCTGCATTTTCTTGGCCAGAGTTATCTACAAATTGACAAGGATGTGTTTATCCATAGCAGCAAAAAGCTGCTCAAATTTGGCATATGTGCTGAGAAAATATTTATTTCTCAAGTAGAAAGTGGCATTCTTACACTTCTTTACTCATACAAGCAATGCTACAAGATAGTTAAGAGCATCAGACACTAAACAGGGCATTAGGCACACAGATACGAACAAAATGCAATAGGACCACCATAAGTAAATAATGATCTGTCTAAAGAACATATGAGGAACCCCCAGACTGATAGCTGGGAATCCAGCATGGGACTGACTCAGGCCCCCCTGAATATGGGTCTCAGCTAGAAGGCCTAAGCAGTCTAAGGGGCCTCAGACAGTGGAACCATGATGTATTCCTGGTGCACAAAAGGACCTTGTGGACACATCCCCCATGGAAGAACACTCCCTTGACCTAGAGACAGGAGAGAAGTCTTAGTCCCTACCTCAAATTACTTGACAGATTTACATAACCCCACCTGGATGGCATAGCCCTACATGTGGATGGGGGTGGGGAGATGGGTGTGGAGGGTGGTCAGGGTGCATGTGAGGGGGAAGAGAGGGTAAGAGGGAGGGAGAGGGAACTGGGATCAATATGTAAAATTAAAAAAAAAAACAAAATAAAATAATAGAAAAGAACAGATGAAGAAAGGAAGGCTTCAACAAGAGAGAACAATGGTTCTCTACTCTGGAAAAAGTCTCTCTCTGTAATGGTATCCTGGCTGTCTTCTGAAAGACAGTGACACCTGACTCCTGGGCAGATGAGTTAGTTGCTGCCTCTCAGGCATTCCCTAAGAACTTCTGTCACAAGCCATACCATTCCTCACATTGCATTATGCAATGTTTCTGAACACCAAATCAGCATCTTCCACACCAAAATAAAATCAAAACCAAACAGGCAATCTAGTAGTCAACAGTAAATAACACATCAGGTAAAGAAGAAAGTTAGGAATGATTTATAAACAAAATGTATAGATCCATAATCCATGTTTTAGTGGATTTCTAGAACATGGCTTGCAAGGATATAACTGAACAGTATAATAAAGCAACTATATCCCAATTCCATCCTCATTCTAAGAAACTACAACTCACAACAGCTCCATTAGCTCTTGATTTGTCTTTTCATTTCTTTTTCTCATTTTATAAATAACAATTGAACACTTAGCATTTTCCACACACCACTTTGAGAACCTAAGTAGTAACAATGGACAAGAGTTATTATTTCTCAGTTCATTCTGATTTTAGAAATATATATTTATAAAATACATAACGTCTGCTAGTAATTTCCAAGGAGAAAAATATGAAGAAGGGAATGTACCAGAAAAAGTGAGTTAAGATTTTAAGCATAATAGCCAAAAGGGCCTTCATACCATTTGAGTCTAATTATGAAAGAAGTAGAGGAGCAAGGATGCAGGTATCAGGGAGAACATCATGGGCAGAGGGGACCACTCAGGCAAAGGTCCTAAGATGCAGATCATTGTGTCATCAGAAAATAGGCAGGAGGAAGCCACAGTTGAAAAGGTGCTGAACTAAGAAAAGTGCATGAGAGAGTCAGGAGAGTGAATGTGAGTCTTAGAAAAAAGAGGATATAGGTAGATAGTTTACAGGTTTTAGAAGAATCAGATGATGGGTGTAGAAATCGATGAATAGTCTAATGAGGATGTTATCTGAAGCACCTGTGCCCTTGGAGCCTGAGTGCTTAAAAACTAGTAGGAGTGTGCAACGTAAGGCTCTGAGGACTATGACCATGAAGATGGGGAAGGTTTTATTCTGTTGGTGTTAGTCTCAAGTGTTACCACTTGAGTGAGGAAAAATGGTTTGGAAGAGGCTCTGAGAGAGGAGGACAGCCATTGCTCACATAGACACTAAGACATGAACATGGAGAGAAGAAGAGACCATTAAGCCTTCTGAAAGGCTGTGGTGTCAAGAGAGGACTAGCCTTCATGTGAGATAGTAAATGGAGTTCCCAGAGAAGAAGCCAGAAATAGAACAGACTTTGCTGATGAGTTTAAAGAGCAGAGAACCCAGGGAAAAGATTTCAGGGTTTAGAAAGAGGGGGAGACATGGGAAAGTGATCCCTGTCTGCTACCCACCTTCTCCCTATGTGCAGAGTATTGGGACCTTTCCTAATATAGCCTTCCTCCTTCTGATTTTTATCATCATGTTTCCTCAGTTTATCCTAACATTTGCTGTCTTGTTTTCATTATTCATTTTCTTTCCTGTTGCTCCTGTCTCTGGACCTTCTTTCTATCTTTCTTTTTAAATGTTTTTTCTTTAGCCACTTTTTTTCTTTTTCTTATTTGATAGTTTGTCCTTGGTGGGAATCATTCACAGGGCTGTTTGATACCAGGATATTTGGAGAGCCTCTAAAATTCCTCCAGGGAATGTCCTGCCAGTTAAGTCTGGGTTGGTAGCCTTGTATATCTACAACACACAAACCTGACCATTTTCTCACCTGGACTTTGACAGGTTCCATCCAGTGCTCCAAAGTGTCAGTAGTCACATTCTCTGGCAGCATCACAGGGTCACTCGGGGGGACTATACATGATGGGGAGCACACTGCACCTGAAGGAAGGGAAATTGATGGCAGAGACATGGACTGCCCAAATCATACTCTTTTCCAATGCTTGCTTAGTCTACACTAAGCATTCTACACTATAGACGATATCATCATGGTAGTTATAAGCAGGGCTGACTTCCACCCCTTGTGTACCAATAGGGATGCTGTTATGTAAGGTGATTAAGAGCCAGTGTGGCAAGTTAATTCTTCTCCTTTCCCCACATGCCATCTCCTATGCCTGGTCCAGTGTGTCCTCTCCTCAGAAACTGATATATGGCTGAGTCATTCAACAATTAGAAGATTGGTTTCTGGTTTAGCAGACTGACACATCCCCAAGACTCCAGCTAACTAAACTTATGCTTTTTAAATATATTTAATATAATTCTGATCTCCCAATAACTTATATTGAAAGCACCTTGTAGCTTCAATAGCTGGGGTGAAGCAAGTGGCACAGAGGTTATTAAATTATTCAGGGCCTATCCTATCCTCTCAGTTGACACACTGAAAACCATTACATGCGCAACCAAGAAACTTATTTGAGTAAAGGAGGAAACAGCCAAAATAAGAAGCAGAGATTTTGGTCTCTCAAAGGAAAATCTTGTTCTATTTGTTTACATGAAAGACCTAAGTGCCCCCTCAAAGCTTAGTCAAATAACACTCATTCTTGGGGCTCTTTTTCCTACAAATTATGTCATTTCTAACTTTCATTTCTGGTTGTCTATACATCAGTGTCTCTAGGTAAATAATCTCTTAAGTTACATCATTTTTAGGAGACAATATAGATGTATACTATTTTGTGTAGAAATCAGAACTTTTGAGGGTGAGAATCTGTTCATTAAACAGCATTTAAGAGATGTCTGAGATCACTGATAACCCAGGTCTGTTTGTACTGTGATCAGCACAAGTTGTCATAGTTCAAATAATACTTGGAACACAGTGAAGAATCAATTCAGAAATGACTAGAGCTTCCAGTTAGCAATGTCATGCATATGTATATAACATAGGTTAGACTCTCCTAAACAATTTTCAGGCTGGTGTAAATCAGAATTTAGACAAAATCTCATAAGGTTTCACATACAATACAAATCTTTTCTGTGAAGCATAGGGCCAATTTGATCAAAATTGAGTCAACCTTACTCTAAGTCAGCCCTAGTACACACAACTTAAACTGCAATTATTTGGGTAAGCACTTACTCACAGGCTCTGCAACCCAGTCCTCTGTGGAAAAAGGCTAAAGAGTTTCATCTCAAGTAATCCATCCCACCACAACAGAGGTAATGTAGGAGACTGGCATCACATGGGTACAGGCATTCATTCCTTTAGGAGCTAAGAACCCAGTCACAGATACATGCACTCTCAGTTTCAAAGCAAAGTAGGTAACTTGAATAGATGTCCCATTCTTACCAATTCCATATCCCTGTCCACACTTGTACTCCACTAAATTCAGCTCTGTGGGGGGTGGTGGGCACTCCCCTTGCAGGTTTTCACACAGCTTGAACTCCTGGGTCCACAACCCCTCTTTAGTGCAGATGATGGGAGTCTAGAATACCAAGGGGGAAAAAAACCTACCACAATTTTTATTTTGTTAATTTCATTGTAGGAAGGGAGGAAAGTGGTCTGACAAATGACAATACATGTTAACTTCTGGAACTTGAGCTAAATGCATTAACTTCTGGAACTTGGGCTAAATGTTGATTAAAACAATAAGCAAAATTAAATATGGCAAAAGAAGAAGGAGGAAGAAGAGAAGAAAAGGAAGGAAGGAATGGAGAAAGGAATGAAGAGAGGATGAACAAACAAACAGGGCAATCCAAGATAATTTCTTGCTGTTTGCATGTGAAAGACTCATGAACAATTTCCCCATTCATGCTACTTATCAGCATTATATTCACCTTTAGCAATGAGGTTATATAATAAACTACTAACCAGAGCAGAATATTCTGTGCTATTTTGAGAAAGTGTCCACAGATGGTATTGTTTTACCATGATTCATACATATTATCACACCAGTGTTGCTTATGGCAAATGTTGGATTTTTTTCAAGGCATGTTATGTGTGGTTAAATAATTAATACTTTTTCTAAAGGTATTTTTGCCTTTCTAATGAGATGCACATATTATCTCTGTTTTAATCCTGCTTAAAGTCTGTTCCCTTTCCCCACATGTCAGCTGCCTGGTACAACTCTTGGTTTGCCCTCACCCACCACTACCACCACCAATCAATGTATACTCTGCCTGGATGGAACACAGAGAAAATTAAGAACTATAAATCCAAAGGGGAGAAATACAGATGTATCAATAACTCTGTCTGGTAAACTCCATGCTTTTCTAACTAGTCAGTTCACACAGGCATATCTGATGTCTTTGGATCTCACTTTGTGGCTCATTTTTTTTCCACATCTGTTCTGCAGTATTATCTTGAATATTGAACCCTAAGTTAAAGTCACTCCAAAGAAGCAGTGACTGCCATTGATCTTTGCCTCCAAAATCTACTTGACTTCCTGTTTCATGTATGTGTCTGTAATACTTGAAGAGTGTCTGAAACAAAACTGAGTTTAGTCATACAATCATGATAAAACTGTGCTTTTAGTTCAGACGTGTGACAGAATCCTAGGGAGAGTAATAGTCAAGTAGCACTTTAATAATCTTTGTTGAATGATTTGTGTTTTTGTTTGGGACTTTGTTCTACTATAAAAGAAACTCACAAGTCCTTAATTCCTACTCAAGTTAGGTCAGTGCACTCATGAGAGTTGATCGCATTGCCAAATCAGAATCCTAGACTAGCTTGAAATGTGCCCTGATGCCCTACTCACTGGTTTCTTCTGCTTACCTCAAAGAAAACTAAATTTGGAAGGGAATGCTCCGAATCACTAACTCTTCAGAACTCTCTATGGAATAATATCAGTGCCTCTCATTAAAATATGGCTGCATAAGTGCCTGCCTGCTGGATTTCTTTCAATTTACTTCACCCCAGCATTCATGTCATAGCCAAGATCATGAAGATGAGAACACAGTCTTATCTAAATTAAGTTCATGAAATCTTCCTTACCCTTTCTGTTTCCTGGTTACAGTTGAGCATACACTGGCTGTCCAGCTTGAAGCCATTGGTGCATTCATACATGCCTTCAAAAACAGGAGAAGGCGGCTCGCACACCACTGGGATGCAGCTCCTTTCTTCCCAGGTCCCATCATCCAGGCATTGTATCTTCAGGAACTTACTAATAAGACATGAAACCGAACAGCCCATCAGAGAAAACTGGATCCCCAGAAACATATGGTAAAAATTAGCAAAGGGGGCCAGTGACATGGGTCAGTGAATAAAAGTGCCAAGACTGAGTTGAATCCCTGGAACCTCCATGCTGGAAGGAGAGAACTGACTTCAAAAAGTTGTTCTATGACCCCGACAAATGCCATATCTTTTCATATGTGTGGAACAGCATACACACACACACACACACACACACACACACACACACACACACACACACACACTAAAAAGGGCAGGACAATTGCTTCTATGTAGTCAAATGCCCCATTGTAGTCATTAAATTAAAACTAGATGTCTGTGGAAGCAGTGATAGGCTGTCTTGTATATTTGACTTATGACTCCCTAGAGAGTTGATAGTGTAGTAACTAGACTGTTTATAGGCAAAGTCTCACATCTAAGCATAATGGGACATGCCATATACTTTAGAATACAGAAGAGTTGTCATACACTCAGGGAACGAATCAGGTAGAACCTGAAGATCACTTGTTCTGTGGTGACACCATGGCTGAAATTGTTAATAGTCATTACTTCTTTGAGGAGAAAGAGTTCAGCAATGTATTGTTTTAAAACAGAGGTTCACCTGATCTTCAAAGGTCAGTCTACTCACTGAGATCACCACCCTCTCTGCTCTGTTTGTTTACAAGTTCATTTTCCCTTGGAAGGAGTTCATACCTTTCATCAGATCCCATGAGCAGATATGACTCAGTACTGTTCTGGAAGAACAGCCCCTCCATCTCATGCCCAGACATGGCCTCTGACCAGAGACTGTGCTTGAGATGGATAGGAATCAAAGCAAAGGGGTTCCTGTTACTGTGGATTCCACTCCACTCCCCTCTGACTCATTGCAATCAGAAGGTGCTTTCCGGTTTGGCTGTTTTAGCATACCCACTTCTGATTCACAAAACTCGTGGTTACAGATAAGCTTGTAATTCAAAATATAAATAATCCTTTGGCTCTCTCCACCATGTAGACAAATTACCATCTGCTTTCTTTCTTTTGTGAGTGTGGGGCGGGGGGTGGTGGGGATGGAGGGGGCTGTGGGTATATGCACATATGTATGTTTTAAGACAGAGTCTCATGTAATCCAAGCTGGCACTTGCGGGTGACCCTGAACTCCTAGGTCCTCTTTCCAACACTTCCCAACTGCCTGGGGTTACAGGCATGTGCCCAGAACATTAAAATGACATTTTCTAGTGTCATGATCTCATTTTAACATTAATATATGTACACCATTCTATATATGCTTTAAACCAACAATCATAAAATGCCTTCTGTGTGCTTGCAATATTCTTCCTTTTTTATCAAACATGGATCACCCTGGTATATGCAAAAATCAGTTTTCCCCACTGGTTGGAAACTTACAGAAGGAAGCAGCTGTGTCATTTTCTTGCTTTCAACTTTTAGGAAGCAGTATTTAGCTTATATGGAACTAAATAAATACTTGATCTTTAAATCCCTGAATTGCAATGAACAACATCAGGTACATTGCAAGACACACAACAAATCAATGGATTCATCATAACTCTCAGAATAAAATTCTGCTCTTGCCCCCACTTTATAGATAAAGGATCACACTGTGATGCTAAATTCCTTTCCCAGGATCTTATGTCACAGGATGCATTTGCTTTCAAACAATTTGGATAACAATTTAATATGATCTCCTTAGCAGACTTTGTGCTGCACAAGGATCTCACTAGCATAGGTTAGCTGTGTTCATGGCGGAACTCCATGCAAATGAAAGAACATGCTATGATTATTTGATTATTTTCTATGTAGTTTCTTTCCCTGAAAGATGATACATAAATATGGCTTCCAAAATTGGTTTCTAGCAAACAGTTTGCAATGCATTTTGCAATAATGAGGCTCCCTTGAAACTCCTTTAAATTCAGTATTTTACTCTTCCTTTGCTCTGCAGATTTTAAATCCTCCAGGGGAATTCCCCCAGCACACACTCAGTTAGGACCTACAGCTCTGGTGAACTCACATTTCCTAAATGGAGAGAGCCAGCAACTCCACTGACATGAGGACAGAAACAAGGCTGTACCATCCTTGCTGCTCAGCATGGCTGCAAAGGAAAACCTGTGCTTATTTCATGTGGTATTTTTCTCTGAATTGGTTGAAATGCTCCAACCATGGAAAAAGTCTCCCCTTTCCTTGCCCAGAGTGAGGAAGCATTCAAGAATGTAGAGTTGATGTGTTTCCTTGCCAGTTTAATAACCTCAGAGGTGAGAGTAGATAGATTAAGTTTGGGTTGGGAAGAGTGAGTTTGGGTGTTTGGGGTTGGACCCACCCAGTGTGATGCAAAGCAGCAGCAACAGGAGATGGGACTGATGCATGGTAGCACAGTTGAGAGTGAAGTCCCTGGATTGGGCATGCATGAGGGAAGGCTGGGAGCATCCTTGTTTCCTAGGCAACTGGGGTCCTTTCATAACAGTCCTTTTCTACAGTTTCAAGGACTCCTCGCTGCTTTTCTTTCCTTTGGAAAGCAGATGGCTTTATGTGGCTGTATTAGTTCCTTTTCTTATTTTTGTAAGAACCTGAAAAAAAGCAACTTAAAGGAGGAAAATCTGACTCTCAGTTCAGAGGGAGCATAGTCAATCATGTCAGGGAAGGCTTGGACATGGCACCAACACTGTCCAGAGCACATACATGGCCAAGATCAGGAAGCAGAGAAAAGGAAATGCTGACTATTTGCTGGCATTTCCCTTTTCCTCTTTTTATTAAGTCCCAGTCTCCATTCCCATGAAATGTTGACATTCACATTTGGGAAGTCTTTCCCTAGTCCTTTCCTCAGTTAAACTTCTATGAAAATATTCCCACATATATGCAAAGCTGTGCCTCTTTAATGTCTCATGTGTTTCTTAATCCAACCAAGTAGACCACAGAAGTGAACCATTACAACAGCCATCTCCTGGGTTTCTGTTTATTTGTTTTTTAGATCTTGGACCTCTCCATCAGATGATACTGCTTAGGCTCCAACTTCAGACTGCTTCTAAAGCATTCAAGAGGTTCACCATGACCCAGTAATGTGGAGTGCTTCAATCTATAGACCACACTTACATGTGGATTCATAGTTAAAGGCCTGAATCTTCAGAGTCATGGTATGGAGCTTCTGGGACACTCCTGGCCATTTTGTTACATTCCAAAGACACTATGATTATATCAGAAAATAAGAGCGCCTTCGATTAGTCCTAGTTCCATGAAATTTGGCTGTTTTCTAAGACTTCTCTGAGGGGAATGAAGCTTAAACCATTCCACCCACTCTACTTTACTCAGTTACTATTGTGAACAAAATGATGGGACCCTCTCCAGCTCCCCAGTTTGTGGTACAACTTTAATCCTTAGTGTGATTGCATTAGGATGGAGGGCATCAGAGGGATCATCAAGTCATACGATGGCACTAGTGCCCTTAGATGAAGAGACACATAAGCTTGCATGCCTGTTTACATTCTTTCCTGAGAGGACACAGGAGAATTGAGAGCATTTGCATACAGGGAACCAAGTCTCCAGAGAAGCATCTACCAATGCTGTCATGAAGAACGGTGAGGCACGAATACCAGCTGTTTCAGTTATTCAGTCTACAGTACTGTTAATGCCACTCCTGAGACTAAGGCACATCAGTGGCATGATGTGTGTGAATCTCCCACCTATGATAGCTGCCTCTTCGTGTCTCCTGATTTGGGGATGTCACAGACTGACCTCTCACTCTTACAGGACTATTCCTGAATGGGAAAAAAAAAAAAAAAAGGCTTTACTGCTAATGGCCCACTTCCTTCAGACAATATGTGTAAACCAGAGGCCAAAAAACTCTTTGAAGTCCTGGTATGAATGAATTTGCATTTCAGGAAATGATGGCATTAGACACTGAACCAAAACATACAGACAGATCCTTCCCAAGACAGGGTACCAGACTTTCTGGAAAGCTCATAACTGTTTTTGTAACACATTCTACTCAAATCTATCCACTCTCTGTACTTTCTTCATCCCAGTGGGGTAAAGGAAGTTAAAGGTGTTGCCTCTTATAGGAAACTAATACTAGTGATCAAATAAGTGATTTTCCCAATGTCATATAGTAAGAAAGTCACTAGTTAAAGCCAGAGTAGATTCTGAAGTTTTCAAGATATAATACAACACCCCAAACATTAGACAAATGGGTTTCAGATGAAATTTGTAGAGTAACTTACCACAATCAACTAAGACTTCCCTGAAAACCTAGATTGTCTGGCCTTTGAACCAGACATCCTGGAAATTGCCTAACACAGTATCTTGCTTCTCTCCTTACTCTCCCTCTTTGCTTTCATTCCTTTGTTTCCTACAGTGCTTTGGATCAAACCCGTAGCCTGCTGTATGTTAAGCAATTGCTCTGACATCAAACTAGATCACCTAACCTTAACTCTATATTTTAAAAGTCTGTCCACACTTTTATATGTAATGCAGTTGGCAAATGCCTACAATTTCTTCTCCTTTCCATGATAGTAGAAATAAGCCATAAATACAGGGAAAGAGAGTAAGATCATTCCCCTAAGAAGCCTGCAGCCCTCCCATCTGGTCTGGGCTGAGCATTCAGCTCTTTGGCCAGAGTTATTAGCTGAATGATTTTGCTTTCTATCCCTTATTTTGCAAATGACATCATGAGGAGTTGGGGTTAGGCTAAGGTTTGTATTTATTTTCTTTTTAACTTCTCCAGACAAATCGCCACAATTTCCAAGTTGAAAGGTGCCTTTTCCCAATTTCCAGAGCTTGTGGTACCCACCTACTGTTGAAACCCCAGCTGTGCCTTTTCTCCTCCTTACATCCCTGCCAGAAATAAAGAGCTTGTAATCAAAACTTGGCTGCATGTTTGATTGATGTTGCTTGAGGCACACACGAGTCTACCCCATTTTTCTATCACCACTGAAGGCTTTTCAAAAGTCATATTTATGTTTCCTTGGAGAAAAATATGAGTATGGT